ATATCTAAGCCAGCGGTCCATTTTGAGATGCCCCACTTTATTCTCTTGAGTTATGCCTGCCACAGACAGACCAAGACAGGCCACAGACAGACCCCTCTGTCAGGCAGAAGCGCCTGAGATCCCCCCGCCTTCCTTTGCCCCACTTGGAGGCAAAGGGAAGGGGGGGGAATGGATCCCAGGCGCTTCTGCCTGTCAGAGGGGCTGACACACACTTCCGGTGATGTCAGGGGGTGTGGCATATGCTAATAAGTTATGCTAATGAGGTCCTGCACCTCTTTTTCTACTAAAAGACCCCTGAGTATTAGTCTCTCAATCCATAAATCTACAGTACTGATAAGTAGTCTGAGGCCTAAATCTTTACTACACTTTGTAACTAGATGAAGTGGAAGCTCTCTGTTCATAAACAACATTTTAAACATATCTTAATTCCTCTTTTTTTACAGTTTGATTTTCAAGATGCAGTAAAGAAATTCTTTCCTTCAGGAACACATCTGGTTAATGGAGAGAACTTGAGCTTTTCCTATGAGTTTAAATCTGATGCCTTATTTGATTTCTTTTATTGGTTTGGGATCAGCAAAAACACCATCTCAGTGAAAGGCAAAGTTCTTAACTTGTCAAGTACCAATACAGAGAAGAAGGAAATGATAACAAGATTTCTGGATAAAATGAGTGAACCTAATCTACGTTCAAACAGCTTTTCAGACAGAAAGTTCAGTGTTACTTCCAGAAGTAAGTTGATGTTTTATCTGTGACAAGCATGGCTTAAGTTTTGTAGAATGTTTGATAAAAGGAAAAATTAGATAGACAGAAAACTGCAAACAGTAAGACATAAAGGATAGGGAGGGGCTGTGACTTAGTGGCAGAGCATCTGCTTGGCATGCGGAATGTCCCTGGTTCTATCCCCGGCATCTGCAGTTGAAAAGGACCAGGCAGTCAATGCTCCCTCCAAGCTGTGGAATCTTGTGAGCAAAAATTCTACTTTGTGAGCTATTGGCATTAAAGTTGTGAGTGAGTGATTTGGCTGCTGCATAAATTAGCTTGCTCAGGAGCCATCCTTCCTGAGCTAAGACAAAAATAAGTGAGCCAAAGGCTACAAATCTGTGAACTAGCTCACACTAACTCAGCTTAGAGGGAACACTGGCGGTAGGTGATATGAACAACCTCAGCCTGAGATGCTAGCGAGCCACTAACAGTCTGAGTAGACAATACTGAACTTCATGGACCAACAGTCTGATTCAGTATCAGACAGTTTCATGTGTTCATTATTTAACTTGTGTGCTTTTGGATGTAATGCTGTTTCCTCTTGCATTTTTGGGATTTAGGAAGTCACTTAATCTTTAAAGACTTCCTTTTTTGTTTCATCGCCTTTTTTTGCATCCAGCTTTCAGCTTGCTCTTGATCCTTGCTGCCATCACTCCTGAATTTATGGCCCCAGCATAAGTTTACAAACCCTACCTTCTATTGTTGCTTTTAGTCATTCACACTTTCCCTTTTACTTCTTCGGATAATACCATCTTCTCCCCCTACACCACTTTCCTGCAGTTTCAGGAAACTACAGCTTTTGTCTCTGTAGGTCTACCTTCCCAGATCATTTCAGTTTCTGTTCCTGCAAGGAAGAGTGTGTTTTTCAGTGTTCCTTGCATCTGCACACTTTCAAGATTTGTTGCCAAGTTACACACTTAATCTCCCAAGGAACTGTTTTCATTTTGAAGCAGACCATGAAATATTTTCATGCCTTTTCCCTCCCCCAGAGCAGTAGTTGCTCATACCCAAATGATGACTGTCTTGCATACATCACTTCCTGCTAGGGGTGGATTGACCATTTAAGGCCACTTGGAACAGTCCCAGTGGGCCGAAGGCCTAGGCAGCTGCTCCCCCCCCCATGCCACCCTGATCCTGGGACAACCCTCTGCAGGCATAGTGGCAGTCACAGGGGGCAGCTGGGAGTCGCTGCTGCCATCTCAGCAAGCTGGAGACCCCCTCCGCTCATGCGAGACAGACATGAGAAAGCAGCTGTCACCCCATGTGAAGTGGCTGGGAGCCGCTGCTTCCTTCCCTCTCCTCTCCGTTGAGGAGTGGGGGCAGGTCAGGGGGTGGGGGCCTTTTCCATGCCTTTCCAGTCCACCCCTACTTTTGCCTTAGGATTTCCTGAAACCTGTGTCAAGTTTGTTCATCCTGTTTTCTTGTAGCTTCAGTAGATGACGTGTTCAACAGCAGCTTGACACCACAGTCACCTTTCATGGAGTCACCATTCACAGTCTGGACAGTTTCAGCAATTCAGGAGCCTGAAGACTGATCAAATACAGTGGTCAGGTTTGCATAAGTGGAAAAGATACATTGGATAAAGAAGGGGATACACAATGGTGGAACCATCCTTATTGAAGGAACACAAGGAGTTATCAAAAGGACATTTTGTTCTCTTTTGTGTGTTGCCTAAAATAGAAGGCTTTTGCATTGCAGCCATTTCCTTTGCTTGAGGAGAAATCTTCTCTGATACTTGAAATGGCACTTCCAGAGTTCACTCTCGGCATTAAAAACTGTTTGTACATGGTAGAGCTTTCTTGAGACAAGCTGTTCCACTTCCATATAGATCCAAAGAAATGATTACAGTGGTTAAAATACCATTTTCCACGTTTTAAAGAGATCCTTGAAACGGCAAGCAGTAACCAGTTAATTTTATCATTGCTAGAATGATTATTATTGTGCCTGATAACTGGCTTTAAAAACAATTTGAAGTCCTTTAATAGCCTTTATGTTAAAGAAGTCAGTTCTAATACTTATTACAAGCTAAACTTACTGCAGTCTTTTAAACAGTGGGCACTGGTGGCTTGAAAGAACTGACTGTTTGGGCCCAATCACTTTTAAATGGTACTTCAAAAACTAGTTTGTTGCCTAAGTTTGTAGCTGTTCCCAGTCCTGGAAATATCTTTTGAACTGGAATTCAGAATGGGATGAGATTCTGATCTGGGTTTGACTAAATGTTTTCTGTGTTTCTTTCCCTCCCCTGTAAAAATCAGTGTTCTGTGCTTCCTTTCGCCAAGGGGGAAAAATTAGGTTGGTTGTCTGCATCAAGAAATCCCAGTTCCTGCCAGCAGATGCCCAGTCTGGTGGTCTGCCTTCCCCCCTGCATTCTCTGTGAAGTGATGATCAATAAGTAAGCCATTGAACTCTTGATTCTGCAAATCATGCCTCTGCAAACATATGCCTTATTCAACCAGTACTACTGTCTAGTTTGTACTGATCTTGTTTTTCAACCCTAACCATGGTCGCTCTTAAATGTACTTTAAAAAAAAAAAAAACTCATGGTAACAAATAGCATTTACTGTTATTCTAGCAACTCCTCTTTTCACTCCTTTATCAATATGAAAAAAATTATATTTCAGGAGCTCAGTTGGGGGTGGTGAAAGAGGAAGTATTTTAAAATCAAAGTTGGCTTTATGTTCTCCTATTGGTTACCTTGACCACATCATTACATGATGCCATCATGTCATCCAGGGTAAACAGTGCCACAGCAAGGCTATCTAATTGCCCACTCTTGTTATTATGGGATTAATGGTACCACTGTGTTTGGAAGCAATGGTAAAAGCGGACAGAGAAGTGTGTAACTTGTGTAACTCAGCCTTATTTGGCATGGTGTGAGATGTGGCATTGTGGGCAGGGATACAGCCACGGTAGCAATGTCCCTGCCTTAGAAAATGCCAAGGTTTTTTTGAGTTGTATGTAGTACTTGGGCACTTTGCCTCCTTTCTTCCTAACTGCTTGGTGGTAGTATCTACAATACACATAGTATGGATTTTTAGAAGTAGTAAATTGCCCCTAACATGCACATCACTGTCTTTGCAAAGGCTCTGTTGTCCCAAGAGCTGACTCATTTCCTTCTATGACTAGACTTTGAAGAGTTGGCACTCATTGGGGTGATGGGGGGCACCCTGCGCATGTAGAAGTGTCATGCATCTGGGAATGAATGTCCAAAGAGAAGGGATAATAACATGATTTGGAGCACATTAAGTGCAGAGTATAACTCTGAGATTAATGATCTTTGAGTCTAAAGAATTCTAACTCTAGATGTCCTAAGAGGTTCCACACTAAAACTCTATAGTGTACTTGCATCTTCCAAACTGGACAGGTAACATGAAGTACAGAAATAGAGGTTTCTACAGAGAGGTTTTTTTTAACCTTTCCCCATACAAACACCTTTTTTGTATAACTAAATGATAACATGGAAATACTAGCCTTGTACATCTCAAGGAGATGTTTGGTATAACTTTATGAAGCTTATTACTGCACAGAAGTTTTTGAAAACTACCTTTTCGCCTTGCTTGTCTGGTAAGCGGAATGCATGAGTGGAGCGAATGAATCCAGCAACAATTGTGTTCATTTTCCCCCATGACCCTATTCAGTGAGTGCATTTAGAATGTTTTAAGTATGTAAATGTATTTGAATGTACTTAGCAAAGTCACTTTATATAAACACAATAGCCTCTTCCGTGCCTTGTAATATATACTTTGTAAAACATTAATAAAGGGAGATTTTATGTAGATGGCATTTTTTGTTTGTTTTACATGGATTGACAGTGGTGTAGGTAGCCATGTAGTATATACTAAAGTGCTAGGTGGTGAGAAACATAATTCATTCCCTTCCCCGATTATTGTTAAACAAGAAGGCAAGGAAGGGCTGACCTTAAAGGCGGAAAGCCTACCTTTCTCCATTGTCTTTGGTGGTATCGGAACCCGCTGGGGCTTGATATTTTCGGACCCGCTTGGTGTCACCTGTCAGCTGAGTCTCTCCAGTGGGGGAGAGGTGAGGACAGAAAGATAAGCTCTCCTCCCCTGGTGCAATGCACCCGGCAAGAAGATAAGTCTGGAGCCTTTAAGAATGCTCCTATTCAGGTCACTGTTTCCCCCCAGAAGTCCCACGATTCATTCTTAAAGAGCTAATGCAATTCATAAAGCAGGAATTACTAGAGAAGTGTTCAGTGTACAGCCAGCTGTTGAGAAATGGACTAATGGTTTTATATCTCCTTACACATGCAACACATGGACTGTGCACACACCTGTATACCATAGGCAGAGAGGAAGCTGTTTGCATCACCTACTGTGAGAGATTTCACATAGGGAACACTTGCCTGCATTTCATGTTAATGTAGCTTGCACACATTCAGCTCAAAGCCTTATGGGAAGGAGAAGCACATGTTAGCCATTGTGAGCAGAGGCAACAACCAAGAAGGAGAAATTCCCCCATTACTGAAAAGACTAGATGTCACGCAGAACACGAACCTGATCTGCATCTGAATCGCCGTTTCCTGTTGATGGTACCTTGTATGCCTGGTAAAAGCCAAGATTCATCTGCACATCAAGGAGGACACGGGAAGCCGAGACTTCACACCTGGCCAGATGGTGTTCCATGAGATAGAGTATAGAGTTTCAAATATTGGCCCAATCCATAGAATACCTGCCCCTTTCTACATGCACCAATGAGGGAGGTCATGGGATGGACTTGTAAGTAGGTGGCATTACAGTTTGGCAAGGTACCACCCACCTGGAGATTCCACTATAAAAGTAAAGGCCAAACGATAGGTCTTTGCTAGCCACCTCCCTTCTCCATGACCTCTATCTTCTTTACTACCCCTAAGGTCCAGCTTTCTATTCAACAATCCCTTTGTCTACTTTAAGATCTCTTGGACTGCAGCCATAGAGGTCCATGCTTGCTGGCTGGTTCTAGCAAGTGTGATTTAGTTAAAACCCCTAGGCGAGTATAACCAGATTGTCCTACCTACCTCCAAATAAATGAGAAACTATTTTTGATATCTTTCTGTAATTCTAAAGGAACTTGAGTGTATGCGAATGTGAGACTGATTATTGTGTGTGTATGTGATTTTGATCTTGCTCAGTAAAAGAATTTGTTTTGGAAAAACACCCATCTGGTCTCCATCACTGGAACTCTGCGTTCAGACACGACCTCCGTAAACTTTGGCCAGGACTCACGTTAAATTTAGTTGCCAACTGTCGTGAATAAGGCAATTTGCGTAACACAGCTGTCATGCTTCAAGCAATAGTCAACAGTCTATTCAAATAACAGAGGCGAAATAGCTTTCAAAACAGCAGCAGACAACAGCCGTATGAAGTTCTGCACAACTATCTCCACATGCCTAAGGAAGTGTGTTTGCAAGACAGTTCTCCGTGCTGCTGGTTTATGATATGGTTTGGGTGGGGTGAGCCACAGGAACTGCAGTTCAAAGGGGTGGGGAGTAAAATCTCACTCGATGTGCCATAGGCATGCGTAAACGATCTCTTGGATCCAAGAAGTAGAGTGTGTGATGTCTCTAAAACATGTTATCTCTAAAATTAAATATCAGTTTTTAAAGCAAAGATTTCTTCTCCTCTTCTTAGAACAACTAAGTGCTAATCAAGCCTGAATGCGGTTAAGACTGTGAAGATAATTGGATAGCAAGAGGAAGCTAGCTCGCAGTGGCAGTCATAAGGCACCTGTGGTTCAGTTCTGTGCATTAATGGGGGAGGGGAGGCAAAGTGCTAAGATGAGGAGCCAGTTAGGCTTGAACACCATCAGATTTTAAACTGAAACTTACCTGGTAGAACTGATTTCCTGCACATAAAGTAGAAATAATGTTGAAAATTCCAAACCAGTGTGATGGAAGCAGAACAGTTATATTCTATGGCGAGGCACACAAAAGCTCATGCTACACCAAAATGTGTTATTCCTTTATGGACTTGCATGACTCATTTTTGGCTTTGCTGCAACAGAATAACAAGGCTACCCTGCAGGAGTGTGGAGATATTCTGTTAAAGAGCCATGGACGCCATCCCAAATTATAGTATTTATCCAGTTCCCTGACCTGGGTAGCTTGTGCTAGCCTGATCTTATCAGATCTTGGAAGCTTAAGCAGGGCTGGCTCTGGTCCGTATTTGGATGGGAGACCACCAAATAATCCCAGGGCCACAAAGTGGAGGCAGGCCGTGGCAAAACCACCTCTGATGATCTCTCACCTTGACAAACCCATCAAGGGCCTGTTACTTGGAGGAGGAGGAGGAGCTCAAAGTAAGCCAGATCCTGTGCTACCAGAGAAGATGTCCCCACCCGCCCCCACCCATTTCACTGGTCTGCTCCAGCAGGGCTCTTACGTTCTTAAGCCAAACCCACTCAAAAGATCCCACTGGGGTGCAGGTACAAAAGTCATTCTATTTACAGTAAAGTCTGATGCTGTGCAGAGGACAGAAGGTGGGTGAAGAGTCTTTCTGGTACAGAGGCATCAATTCCTCAGTTCTCTTGAGAGCTCTCTTACACATCAAACTGCAGATACTGCGTGTGTGTGTATGGTGTTGGACAATTACTGCATATTTTGGCAAACTCTGACACCAAAAGCTAAATTTAAATAACAGATTAATTTCTAGCCACATGATGATGAATGCATAGATTGTTGCACTCACTAATGTAGGGAGGAAGGGCCCTGACATTGTCCTATTGCTATGCAGGGCAAATGTACTAACCAGCGGGATCTGTTCTGTAACAAAGTACACTGTACAACTTGTTCACTAGGAAGCAGGCTGATACATTATGTCCCTATAAAAACATGTTTTACCATGGTGCAGTGAAATACTGCAAGAACTGTCTGTGAGTCACCTCTTCCAAGGGATTAATCCAACAATAATAAGTCTTTCTGACTGACTGCCCAGAATGAGACACTCCACTACTATATTCCATTACTACAAAGTACCATGGAGGATGTGGTAGGAGACAACAGATACAAAGAGGGGGGAACTGCTAAGGAATGTAGCAGCTGTACTCTGACAAGGTTCAATGAAGAAGTTTATGGGGGCTGCTGTGAGAGTATACAGAAGTACTAGAACTTGAGGGCATTCAATGAAGCTCATGGGTAGTAGATTCAAGACAGACAAAAAGGAAATACTTCTTTACCCAGAGTCATTACAATGTGGAATTCACTGCCAGAGGGTGATGGCCACAGGAATAGACAGCTTTAAAGGGGTTTAGATAAAATTCATGGTGGATAGGTCTATCAGTGGCTACTAGCCGTGGTGACTGAAGGAGAGCCTCCACTTTCAGAGGCACTAAATCTCTGAATCCAAGCGCCAGAAGACCACATCAGGGGAAGGTCTTGGCCTCTATGTCCTGTTGTTAGCCCTCTAGAGGAACTGGCTGGCCATTGTGTGAAACAGGATGCTGGACTAGATGGACTACTGGTCTGGTCCAGTAGGGCTCTTATGTTCTTAAGTAAAATTTCTCTCTCCCTTTCTGCCCTCCCTGGGGAGCCAAAATCTAAACATGCTGAGGCAGAAAAGACTAGATAAAAATAGGAAGTGCTGTAAAAACAGAAATGTTAAGATTCAAAATGTTGCCTTTCTGCTGAAAGTGTCTTTTAAAAAAGCATTAAAGAACACTCCGTTTAGGATAGCAAATATTGTGTGGATTGAAATTGAATTCTGCCATTAATATGTGTATCAGTTCAACTTATAAATGACTACAACATGGAGACACACAGACACAAAGAAAGATTCCCAACACCTCACAGTGCTGCTGGAGCTGGTCCTTTAAAACTAAAGAGTATTTCTGCTTAACAGAGAGCAATTAACAGCAGTGAAATCAGCTCAATTGGAATATTACTTAAATTCTTGGCATGCCGTGTGTCACAGCATATTTGTAGCATACTTTCATTTCTGTGTCCTTAGATGCCACTCGTTCTTAAAAAAATAACCAAACATTGCTAGTTAAAGTCTAATATTTGACCACTTCTGGAGAGTTCTAGAGCAGGGGTGGCCAAACTTGCTCAACGTAAGAGCCACATAGAATAAACATCAGATGTTTGAGAGCTGCAAGGCATGAACAAATTTTACAGGTTTTTACTGGGAAATATGCACATTTGCTTTTTATTAACATGAAATGAGACTGCCAAATTTAATAACAAAAGCAGTAAAAGCAGATTATTGATAATATATATTTGTCCAATGACATTTGTTTGCTAATAATACTTAGCTTCCGCAGCCATCCTGCTGGGAGCCACAGAATATGTGTGAAAGAGCCACATGCGGCTCCCGAGTCACAGTTTGGCCACCCCTGTTCGAGAGTAAAAGATTCAGACACGATTGTGTGCTGTAAGGCTGCTATTGAGACGTCCCTGGAACAAAGCAACACAAATGCTTTGGGAGGTAAACAGACAACATCTACTTTATCTGAACTAAGATCCAAATCTCCTGTGGTTTGTCATTTCAAATTTGAGGCTGTGCTATACAGGACAATTTGCAACTGAGATTATCGAAACGTGTCCTAGTCAACGAAGCACCTCAAGCAAAATGACAATGGGAAACAGGCAGTTTGTCCACAAGTCAGGAGGAAAGGAGACATGTCCTCTACAAAGGCCCTTGTAATAAAGAGGTGCCAATACTGGATTGGGAACACAGGAAGGAATACATGCTCCTCCTATAGCAGTGACCAGCACCAGCCTAAATTGCCCCCATCTCCCACTATAAGAACTATCCCATCAAGGAGGAGCAGCTTGGCAGAGGAA